TGTGTATTTGACTTATTAAGATAAGCGATCATAATTTTAATATAATAAAATCTTAATTTCATACCTTAATCACCTATAATTATTATACAGCCAGGACAATAAAATTATTTTAATACCTTAAATTACATAAATTCCCCTGAGAAATTATCATCTTAACTGCATTATTTTTATTTTTAAATACACAATAATGTAATGAATAGATGTTTTTCATGTTATGAGATTTCAGTTGCTGTTTTTGACCTATACAGTAATTATTAATTAAAAAATACATTGACTGATGTATTAAATAGGTACTACACATGTATCTTTATCAAATTGTATGGACATTTTTGTTGTTATAAGTTAAGTGTCGAATATTCGATTCAATAAAAAAGGAAAAAATTAAATATGCATTGTAGCATAATTCATGATCTTTTATATTGGAAATAGTTTGGTATAGCAAAATTACGGATGTCAGTCTTACATGGGAATGACTAAGAACAACTTAAAACAATAATTGTACAATTGTTGTACACCTCTATACATGTCCAAGGTGCTATGCCTATCGTGATTATTTATTTTACCAAGATAATATTTTATTTTAATCATGTTTAAAAATAATGACATCGTTCTAAAAGGAAAATATTATATTTGCTTGATGACTTCTTATTTTGCTACACATTATCTGCTACACATAGTAGTGTATAGTATTACCATACATAACAGTAGTATCAGATTTACATAACATTTCTTTGCTGGAGTTTTCTTTTCGAACAAAAATATATAAGCGCATTTTTCATGTTTTAATTAAAAATAGAATGTATTATTATTTAAACATTTTGTTTTTTCATTTCAAACAATGAGTCGGTAGAAAAAACAAAATATATGTATGTAATAAATTATTTTGCATACCACTAAAAGTAGTTACAAAATAATTTATATTAAAGTTATTTTACATAAGTACTTAAGTTGTAATTATTTCATTTTCAAAGTTTTGTATTGATTCGTAAATTGAGCATATAGTTTACAATAAATATCCGTACCAATAATTTCTAAGAATTAATAACGTGTCATAAAGACATATAGTTTTAAACGTATAAGCTATAATTTAATTATTACATAATTGGAACGAAAGGGACTAAGTGGTAGAATTTGGAATTTTTTATTGTTAACCATAGTCAAATTTATAAATCGCAGAATATTAATATTTTAAATTATTGCGTTCGAAAAACAATACAAATTGAAATTTTTGACTAAATAATAATTATATAGTATAGCATTTTATTCTTATGTTAAAATATATTTTAAATTTAAAATCAATGTTAATATTGTCTAAAACAGCCAATAGAATTTTAAGATGTTTTAAATCTTTGAGCATTATAATTTATAAGTTAAAAATATTAAAATATCGTGAATATTTTACTATAGAAAAGTAAATAAATAATTAGCAAGAAATTAAATTCGTAATTTTTTTAATTTAGTTAATATCCAACTTCTTGTATATGTAACAAAATTGCAAAAACTGATTAGTTAAAAAAAGGTATGTATACCATTTAATACTTCCACTGTTCTTAGTAACTGTATATTGTTTGCTGAAAAACCTAGTGAAAAAAAATGTTAAAATTACTTCTTTAAATTATTAACCATATTCGTTTTAAAATACAAAGCAAAAATGATTTTAAATTTAATATTACAACAAAACATTAGGAAATTTTTTAGTATAAGGGAAAAATTCACGAATACAAAACATACCTACGTAATAAATTATTATAAATCATAAAAACGAGGGGAGACAATTCAGATGCAGAAATTAAGCAAAGCACGATTACATTTGAAAGAATCAATTTACATTATATTCAACAAAATTTCACACAAAACAATTTTATTCATAGTATTTAAATATTTTTAACAACTCTTTTTAACAATTTTGATAGTTTTTGTTGATTTTATTTTTAAACTATTGAGGAATAATAAAAAAAAAAGACTGGTAAAGTACTGTACTTTCACTTGAAAAAAATAGGTAATATATAATATTATGAAAATATACCTAACAATATTACAAAAAAAAAAAAAAAAAAAAACGCAACACATTTACGGCCGAAATCTTAGGTTTTCGCTCGTATAACACTCATAATATTACAAAACTGGTATAATTGTAATGTAAAGAATAATAACGATTTGGGGGACGAACCGATGTCACCGAAAGAACTGATGCAATGAAATCACTTAAAGAATAAATACCAAAAAAAAACGCATTCAACAAGGAATAAAATTCTCAGTCGTAGAGCTTCATGTCAATTTAGGTTATTCGATCCACGCGTTTAATACGAGAAAAATTATTGTTCAGCATCGAAAAACGCAACCCATACAAACACAATGACAGAGGTGGATAGGTAGGTTTTTTGTTACAGGGAAATATTTTAATGGGGCCACCAAAATGAAGAAAAAATTTGTTTTTAAAAAAGGTATTATATTTAATCATCCTAATTTAATTTAAATAATTTAACTATAAAAAACATGATAAATTTCCATGAAAAAATTAATGGTATCAAGGGGGTCATCGACATAATATAGGACGAGGGTCCATAGAGAAAATCCTTTTTTCCCTATGGGCCTATTCACCCCTACTCAACGATTCCAAGATTAATCGTGATACCAGTGATCACCGCTTATAGTGATCACATTCGTTCGAGAGAACTGTGATTATTATAACCGGAAATCACTATAAGCGGCGACTCGAAAATACATTTTTTTACACTAATTGAAAGCGTGCTCCTACTAGTCATAATACAGTATACATCTTCATACTATACAAACAGTACACTGGACGACGGAGGAAAACAAACTAGGTATAAAGTGTAAAAATATCGGTGCTTGTGAGAACAAAAACGGTTTCAAATATGTACGAATGTACAATATGAAGTGTCACTTATTACGTAGGTTACATATGATAAAATTAGCTCGATTAAAGTTCACGATTAAGATAATTGTCATTCGTAATCGTTTTCCATATACACAATAAAAAGTTGATATTATTGTAAATTATACTTATATTTTATATTTCTGATCACAATTACCGAAAACCTGAACATTGTAAGCGACGAAGAATGCACTTATAACGGCTGTTTGTTCCGTTCCTGGCATTTTTGATCACCATAAGCGGCTGATTCTTATAAACAGTGAACACTATAAGCGGCGGCCAACTGTAGTTGTTTCGTAAAACACCACCGAAATGTACTTATCACGCGCCGATAGGGTCGTGGTGAACACACGGCGAAAGAGTTGAATATTCGAAACATTTCCATAAAAAAAAACGCCGGAGGCGAAGAGTCCAGTAGCCGGGGAGTTCTGCGTACCGATCGGCAACGGTTACGGACAGTGCCGGACTAAACATTTGCCGGCCTCTAAAGAAACTAAAATGCTGGGCCCTACAAAATTATTTTTTACATACATCTTTAACATTACTGTTCAAAAATTAAAATAAACAGCTTTAATAATAACTAGGGCTAGGATTTATATGAATTTGCATCTTTTTTTCCTTAAGTCCATATTGATTGGTTTTCGGTACGTCCACAATTTGGCTTATTGTCGATTAAATAGAACTATTTTTATTTTGCATATTTTCGCGTATTTTGAACATAATGCGTATAATTGCATATTTATAGATTTTAGAGAATCTTGTAAATTTTTTTAATTTTTAAACTTAAAATTGTAAGTTCATTTAATTATTTTTAAGTTATTGTTAATTTTAAATGGTATTAATTGAATGAACGTTTATTTTTCGAATCGTCGTAAATATAATACATGCATAATCTTATCTTGGTCGGACGACCGATATAATTATCCACACATTATTTTAAGACGTAATTATTAGAAGTCTGCACGGAGTGACGAGGGTGCAATCGATTTTTCGGCACGTATAATTAAAAAACGCTACGTTCGGCTGTGAAACGAGCCTACAACTATTTTTAGATATAGATATTTTTCAAAGACCAGCTCGGCCTTAAGGAATGTTATATCAGTAAAATTGAATTTTTGTACAAGTATTAAAATTCTGAAAAACCCGGCTTGTATTGGATTTAAAAATGTAAAAGCCCGGCTCGGGGTACGTGTTTTGTTTAAATAAAGCTCGGCTCGGCCTGGACTTAAATTTCATGGGCCTGGCCTATGCAGGTATTTAGTACTTATATTGTAAGACAGTACAGTTTAATTTCATTACTACGACTTATAAATTAATATTTAATGTAATAATAACAAATAGGTAATAATTCTAGAAATAATAAAAATTTGTTTTTGCATATTTTTACATATTTTGATAGATAAAATGCATATTATACAGTTTTTTATTGCATATAAATCCTAACCCTAATAATAACCAACTATTATTAATAAATAAAATCATGTTTATTACATTTTTTCTATTTGCAAGAAAAGTCAATTAAATATTATGTATATTATTTTCGATCATTACCTACTAGACGTAACGCTTACAACTTAATATTGTATTTCAAAATGACTTTTGTCCCGTAAATTCGTAAATAAAATACAAGCGTGATTGAAAAAATGTAAAAAAAATATATAGTTTTCACAGGGCTCCTTAAACGAACGAGGTCCAAAGGCAGGATTATTCCGGCAACGGTTACCGAAAAGTTAGATTAATTATAAATGATAAAAACCGCAATCGTTGTTAATGGTGATCGGAAAAAAATATCGCGAATACGTTATAGTTTCCCGCGCGATCGGTAGAGTACGCGTGCGGTAAGAGCGCGCGCGCCCGCACACACACAACCACACCATGTCCATGAACGACACGCACACGCACAAGTACACTTGGCGTACAATATCATATCCCTCCTCCGCCTCGCCGAACCTGTCAACCGCCCCACTCACCTGTTTGTCGACCCACCGCGCGCACGGCCGTTCGTTTCGCCCGGAGACGACGGCAAACAACCCCCACCATTGAATTGGTGGCGACGACGGCGGCGGCAGCAGCAGCAGCAGCAGCAGCAGCAGCAGGTGGTTTTTTTTGTGTGTCCGTCCGTCGACTACGGCTGACTGCTGAGCAACAGTTTCGTTTGTTCAGTCTTGCTGGTTTCTCGTAGCGTCTACTAGTGTTGTTCATTCGGCTCGCGCGCGCCGCGATGAATACATTTTTATCGTTCCGTCGTATTCGTAATCTCATTCATTTTCGACCGTCAACACTCGAATAAATAGATCTACTCTCGCTTTGAATACGTTTCGATGTGATTTTATTGCTCGCTCAAGTACAGTATAGTTCTTTTTTCAAAAATATTTAATTTCGTCGGTTTTAAAACGACCCGTCCGAACGTCGCTCACCTCTCATATTATTGCGAATAACTAATATCTGTTACACGTGCCGTGCTTGATTATTATTATTATTATTATTATTTTTTTGTTTATTTTAGAAAATAATCTTAACAAACGATTTAGTTCGCCTTTATACATTCGTAATTATACGCAACAATATTTTGTAATTATACGTACATTACATTTATGACTGCTACTGGTCGCCGTGAATCACGCATTCGCTAAAGTTTGGCATTTCACTTAAATATTCACAACGAATCTCATCAGTCGAACATGCGGCGACGGCGACAATAATAATCGTCAAGTATAACCTACCTGTTGTCGATTAATATCGGTTGCCGCAGTACACGGATTTTACCAACAACAGCAGCAGGTGACTGAGCTGAGCTGGTGACATCGCTGGTCGGCAAACCGCGCTGCGGTAAAAAAAAAAAAAGGAATTCGCGACGTCGGCAGAAAGGAAGACAACGACGACGTGCGACCATCATCATACCGAGGTACACACCTTAAATTATACGTCCGTTTCTGCTAGGCGTGATAATATTATTATTATTTGGTTATCGTATTCGGTATCGCGCGTTTTCTCTAAGGGTTTGCAAAGAATATTGTTCTTATTTTCGTAAATCATTTGGGCGTGAGGAACGGGTTAAGGACGTACGTATCGTAGTAGTGCACCGGAATAGTGCGATAGGTGGTTGGCAGATACGACAGCGACCTTTTGTTTTTCTCCGTAACAACGTTGACGTTACGGAGGATAAACATTGAATAACATATTGTTTTTTCGGCGGGTCAGAGCTAACCGTTGAAATAAATAGTTAGCCACGTGATCGAGTGTGATATCGCGGTATCATGTGCGCATAATACGTCAGCGGTAATGAACGAGTGAGTAAGCGAGTTAGACGGTTAGCAATGGTAAGTGAGTAAGCGAACGAGCGAACGATCTAGCCGAAGAGACGGTGACGGTCTGGCAGCGTTTCCGAGAAACGTAATATACTGCCGTCAGCTTGCCGACTCTCATTGCCGACTGGCCGCCGCTTTAAAGTAATCGTAGTAGACTCGTGCGTAGCCGTTGTTGCCGACGACGTCGTAAAAATCACGAGGCGGCCGTCAATGGCGCCGCATATGGTCAACGCGATTTGGCAACGTCGGAAGAAAGTAGGTGGAGGAAGAAAAAATAACATCAAAACATAATACTGACCGTGTTTTTCTGTGCCCACGCGCGTATATCGTTACATATTATATTGGTAGTCCGCTATTATTATTATTATTATTGTTGTTGTTATTATTATTATCTCGCGATGATTATTGTTCGTAAAAGGATCGAGCCGATAGTATGGTGTATGAATACGGATCGACAAAAACGCGTAAGCAATTGTGAGACGTATACGTGCTCTAGTGGGAACTCGGACGATTTGCATAGAAATCGGTTTGAATGCATTTTGCAGTTCGCCATGTGTCGTCGCGCGCGGTGTCATGCCAATTATAGTGTTTTCATTGTCTTTTTTTTCGTTCTTTGTCTTCATTCATTTATCGATTTTTCCTACAGGAATATTATTATCTACGTCGACGAAATCCTGAACGTTTCAATAATAATTATAATAATTAAAATAACCCGATCAGGTAAATCATGTTTTTGGTAGACTCTCGTTCTTTGGTTCGCACACGGTTGCATTAATACAATATTGTAATATAAACATAATTACAAGAGCCTACTTGTACGTCTTTACGCGCTAGATACCCGTTACAAGATGATTAAAAAGATAATGAAATGTAGAACAAATTAGTATGCAAGGTTTGTAATTCTTATATTTTTGTCCTTGATCGTACGGCATTTTTTTTTTCGCTTCCCTCTTAAACCGGGTTTTACCGTTTATTCTCCTACCCCATCACTAAATCGATGGGAATTTTTGGTACTTTTTGCGTTTTAACCGTCCAAATTAAATAGCTAAAAATAAATAAATATCTTTTACATTGCTCTGAATAAACGAATGCTTAAGATAAATTTAACAAATTGATTACATTTTTACACTTAACGACCAACACATGTGTTCGAAATGCTAGATTGCTTAGGCTTAGGGAATTGTTAGGGAATGTTCGGTCCATCTGTAAACTATTAAACGTTTTAAAACCCAATGAAAAACTGCTTTGGATAGGTCACGTATTTTTATATTACTACCTTCGAGTCGACAATCGACCTTTGCTTGTGTCACGTACACTGCGGGGTTTCTGACCGTTTACCAAAAATATCCCTCTTATTTATTAAATCAAACAACCCTATGTTGAATAAAGTATAAACTTCTGTTTAAAAGCACCGTTTATAATATCACTATTTTCAGATCTTAATCAATCAAACCACACACTAAATAGCGAATGCCTTCGCATGTACCTCAACATTTTTAATGTAGTTATAAAAATTGTTCCTTGGAGAGTTGACACACGACATTTAATCGTTTCAAAAATGCTTTGTGCGACGGTTTTTTTGTTGAAAAGAGAAAAAACATTAGGGACAATAAAGGACCAATAAAGGTGCTGAACGCGAAAAATTACATACCGACGATTAACTTGTGGGTCTGCTATTGTGTGTAGTGGTTCTTAAAAACAATTAGGTTTTATATAATGGTACTTTATTATTCGGCGAATCAGTTACTGCATATTTTTCTAAATGTGTGAATGGACCTTGAGTGTTTAAACCATTGTTGTGATGGTTAATATTATTATGTATAGGATGCAGAGGCGTCAGCGGTCGAATGAATTTCATTGTGTGGTTCGAAAATAAACTAACCCTCGTCGACTTTGTTTTTGTTTTTTTTTTAATACCTTAAACCACAGTCAATCTTGTTTCAACAGAATTTATTGAGAGTTAAAAAAGTGTTTCGTTTGCACACTTTTACCGTTGTTTAATACGGATTATGTTTCACGAGAAGTTTTATAAATGTGTGTTGTATATAATATATGGTTTACAATAAAAAAGATGAAACCATATAATATGTGTTTGAAAGAAATACGAAATCAAATCGTTTCAAGTAAAATTATCCCTTCAATACATTCTTACAAATTAACATTTTGTGATGTTAAATATCACTTTAATCTTTAAATTAAATTACATTTTGAATAAACAATAATTTTTATTTATAAAATATCTTAGTGTTTTAAGTATTGGAAGTCTTTGAAGTAAAACATAATTCATTATTTTAGTTTTTAATACGTATAAATTAATGTATACATAATATGTCTAATGCAACGTATAAATATATTTTTTTTTAATTAAAAAATTATTCAAATTTACAGTCAAAACTCAAAATTAATTTAACTATTACTATCATAATTTCCAAAAATATAACATTAATAATAATAATAAAGATAATAATATATTAATTGTATGCTATGTGAACATCAGAATCCGATTTTCATAATTTAAATGGTTATAAATTATAAAAAACATTATATTTATTTTAATATTAGAAAATATATTTTTCTAATGATTTGATAGTTATTAATTTATGCTTTTTTAATACATAAATAGTTTGTATTTAGATATAAAAAAATAAATGCTTAGCCAGGAATATTGTTATACTTGTAATGTACGACCAGTTTCGAATTAAAAATTCATCATCAGTTTCATTAACTAAGTCAATATGAACACTGACTGTTTTTCTTAAGTTAATATATAATCTATTCTTAATTTACTAACTATATTTTTCAGTATTTTTGAACTCAATTTTGTAATGAAGTTTTTTGGACAATTCATGGCATTACAACTTGAATTACATCATATGTGATTTAATTAAATTTGTTGATACCTATGTTAGATGAAAGAAATACGTTGTATAGACTGATTAGAATTGTTCTTATTAATACTTATTAGTTATTGGTTATTACTAGTGGATAAAATTATTATACATATTGATTATTGTTAGGAATTTTAAGTTTTATTATATATTTTTGAAAATGTCCAATAATTATTTATCCAAATCTTTGTATTATTTTAAATTTTCTTTAATATTTTATTGAAAAAATCCGAGTACTATAACAATTAAATTCCATGTTTTAAATTAAATTAAAACAATTTTCATATATTTTATATTCAATGCAACAAAAAATTGTAAATATCAAGAAACACTTGTCGTAGTCCGGAATGTCACGACACGATGCACGATAGAATAGTTATAATGATATATAAAAAAAAATAAAAAAAACACAGCAGCAAAAAGTGGTAATGGCTGGTGGGCCTTATATTATTTTATACGAACACCGAATAATAATTAATAGCGGTGTAACAAATGTACGAACATACGGAACACGCCGAACAATACCAAAAAGAAAAAAAAAGATAAAGAAACAAAAAATTTTTTGAGGACGGTCGTTCGGAAATCATTGGGCCTTTGAGACCCGATTTTCCTGTCGGACATCTGTTGACAATATCTCCGTATATAATGCCAATATCTGATGATGGTGCTGTGCGTAAACTCGGTTGTGATTTTTTTGAAAAGTGATTGGAGGCGGATGGTCGGACTAATTCCCCAGTTTCCTCCGTCGTTTCCCGAAAACGTCGGTTGGTGAGGACATGTGTTGTTCCAGTGGTCCCCCCACAAATCCTGCATGGTCCCGGCGGTTTCCCCCTACGGTTTGGTGGTTGTGTTGGGTCACGGTTTTTCCAACACCCTTTGTTGCGAGGTTCAGGTGGTACGCGGTCTTGTGCACGGGGGCATGTGGTGAACGTTTGCGGGTCCAGGACTCCGGCTATGCGACGCAAATCTCCGAAAGTTTCCGGTCGTTGTAATCGCACATGTATCCGAAATTCGTCGCGCATTAATCCAGCGATTATTCCTACCGTCTGTGATTCCGATAGTCCGGTGTTAACGCGGCGTGCAAGTTGGTTTTTGACCAAAACGAATTCGGTGAGCGGCTGGGTGGCGAGTTGTTTCACTGAAACAATTTCCGCGCGTATTTGGGCCTGAATTTCGGCGTTGTCGAAATTTTCCAAAAATTCCATCCGAAATTCCTCCCAGGATAGATCCAGGATCTTGATGGATATCCACCAATCTCCAGCTATCCTTTTCAGTTGCGGCTCGACCGCCCTTGTCCAACTAGCCGAATGAATATTAGCCTGACCTAATATGGATTCCGCGTTCTCAATAAACCGTACCGGGTCCTCTGCCTTTGTTCCGGAGAACTCGGGAAGAGACGCGCGTGCTGCGCGAAGATCCTCGTACGGAATTAGGACAGAAAGTTCGGGGCTATAGGGTGGACTTGAAAATGTGTGATGTGACCTACTCAGTGGGTGCACGTCCGCAAAGTGTACGGACCGTTCCGCGGGTGCGCGTTCGGTTTGCGTGTCACGGGTAATGTCGTACCATGCGTTAGTAGACCGTTGCGTCCGGTGAACACTTCCGACTTCGCGGTGGTCGTCCCTATGTAGATTGATGTCGGGTACCCGTTCCGTACTATTAAGGCGGAGGCTGGACGGGTGAAACATCGCCTGTCCACCTCGCTGATC